TTTTTTGCTTAACAAACAACATGAAGTTCTGAAGCCTAGCAGTTCCAGGCATTCCCAGTGGCAAAGGAGCAAATCCAATAGGCGGCATCGGTCCATGTCTGTCCTCCCTTGGACATGGCATGACTCCGGATGGAGCGCACAAAGTGCGAGAAGCTCGTCCCCCAGGAGTGCGACCTTCGAACATTGAAAACACTTTAAAGCATTTCAGCGTAGGAAACGACTGGAACATCTTCACGACAACTCACAGATCTGTGGATTTCATCATGGTTAGGTGGGTGGCATTGGCCCCGATTTCCGAGGACCCTGACTTCCGAAGACAAAAAGAGGTGAAACCCACTTCCAAGATTACTTCAGGGAGTGTACAGCAAATTTAAAAAGTCTTTTGCAAACATCCGAGAAATAACAAGAAGCACATCTTGTTATAACCGCTGCCACCAAGGGACACAAAGTAGTCCACTTGCCTGCCACCCCACAGCGTCACAAAGGACACCTGTTTGTCGCACGTCAAAGGCCTTACGATGTTGGCGACGACAAAGTGCATGTTCCGCTCAAGGATGAAGCCTCACTTGGATTAAAGGAACATCACAGGGTACGTCTTACGAACAAATAACCACACCTACAAACAAACGCACAGCGCTCATACAGTTGGAGAAGCGTTCGAAGTGTTTCCCCAAATCCTGCAAGGTAAGGGCCATCAAGCCCTGATTGCGAGGATGAGTGGCGTCCCGGCCCAATTGTGGTTTGCATTTGATATCCTTCTGGTATTCGTTCAAAGCCGCCGAGAATGGTGTCCTGCGATAGAACCAGCCAATAAGATACGCCACCGGCAAGTGAAGCACCACGGCAGCAAGTACCATTGGAAGGAGAAAATACAAAGCAGCAGTAACCTTGACAAAGCTCATCCTATAGCAAATCAGCCAGCAGCAGCTAAATCTAACATTGCAAAAACACATTTCAATTATATAAGCGGTCGCTAAAATGTTCAAAACATGTTCAAAGCATGTTGTGCAAACAAAAGCGGCAAGAACATGTCCAAAGCCATTCTTCGATATCGCTGCAACCACTCCGGTGACAGGCACTAGCACAACCACTGATATAAATGCGGTGAGTACAGCGAACAATGGGAAAATCTTGGTGGCATGCATGACACCCTTGCACGCAGCACAATGAAAGGGCACATAGACATCCTGAAGCTGAAGTTTTCCATGCCCAATGCTGCGAACCTTCACTGTATTATTGGATTTCTTGTCAAAGTCCAACCACTGCAAACTTGTGCCTTCTACGCGATATGAAACTAGCCAGTGCACAATGCGAGAAAGGTATGTGGGAAGACCCACAATGGGACCTTGCGTGGTGATGGTAAACACCTTCTCGCCGGCTATCTCCAAAGGGTCTGAAGTTGCATCCACAACCACCAGAGGAGATATCAATATCTCAAAGAGAACAAAGGCCAAAAACACCATGATTGCTCCACCCGTCAACAAGCATGCTAGCTCCCTCTTCTCGAGCGGCCAAAAATTGCATTTGTCAGACTTTCCATCAGACCAAGCTCGAAGGCCTCCGCACTTGCGACAAGTGCCATTGTCATAGTATGAGTGGGGGTCACCTCGGCAGCTGTGACGAAACAGGGTCCTCATGAACATGAAACTTCAACGGTCTCGAGTCTCAACTGCATCATGTAGCAACACATTTGGCCACTTGCAGGTGAGTCACAGAACCGACAGGTTGCAAAAAGGTCTTTCAAAGCCACAGAATCGTTTCCAAGGAAGTCTTCCTTTGTGATCCTTGGACCGGTAGAAAGCAATGCCAACTTCATCTTCACACAGAACTTGCAATTTACGATAGGGTTTTACCATCGTAGTATTTACAAGCCTGGTTTGAATCTGCGAAGTTCCAATGAACTACTAAAGCAAAGCATCTGGTGGGTGGGACAATCACAAGGCGAGGTTGTGCCATTCGACCTGAGTCACAAATAGCATACACCAAGCACGAGCTCTTGGTCTGTGGTGTTCGAAGTGTTGTCTGCAATCGTGTTTTCAGAGAGTCGGTTGAAATAGTTTCATGAAGCACGGTGATATATGGTTTTATCAATAAGTGTTAAAACATATACTGAGCGTAAACATTGTGCACCTGGCAGGGCTTGATGCTCGGTTAAGGCGATGTGTTCAACTGTTCAACCCACCATTGATGTTGTAGAAAGTCTCAAGGGTTGCACGACACGGGCTTAAGATATTGACACGTTCGTGCGACTACGACTCCAACAATATAAAGCATGACCGGTGCGAGGCACATCCTCAAGTGACATCAGTACCGGAAGCCAGAATCAAACAATAGAATCGAGTATACAAGAATCAGCACCAAGCGGCACTGTGACTTTGCTGGGGCACTGCCGATCTGTTGGGCTTAAGGCTTGCAGCATGTGATTCGTCGTGTTCAATGTGATACCCTGCGGGCAATCTGGACAGGTAGCGACCAAAGAGTCGACTTTGACGTCAGCCTGCAAATCATGTGAGGTCTGTTTAGAAGGGCAAAGTTCCGAAGATTCCTTATCGTAAGACCCTGATATGCGACAGGGTCATGGTTTTTGGGTGGATCCATGCAGATTCAATAGTCAATTGGAGTGTTGCCCTCGCAGCTAGAAGAATAGCTATAGTCCTTTACCTTCAACTACTGAGGGCCACCCTGCCCATGGAAGACTTCTTGTTCAATGGGATGTCCCTGCATTATCCATCATAAAGTTCGAGTCTGGGAAATGCCTCTATTGAGCAGTGGCTTTACAGCAATAATCAGCAATATAATACATCAACACGACAGTAGTGTCCTCAGGGGTGGAGATGAGCGTGGTGTTGAGCGGCGGCTGGTAGTGGATGCTAACGTCGTCTATCACCACGTGTTTGGTCTTAACCGAGGATCTGAGTGTGAGCAATCGACCTGACCATGACTGGAGGTGGATACCAAAGAGGTGCACCTTTTCCTCACGGTCGCAGGCTTGGACGGACAAAAGCCCTAAGCTCAAGGGACAGTGACCTGTTGTGTCCAAAGCTGCACCCCTTTCCACTTGAAGAGTTATGTCTGAGCACTTGCAGCCACTGTTCTGCAGCTCCACTGCATGGCTTCCTTTGACATTTTCCATGAGAAAGGTGGACCGAGAGAGGATGTGCAAGCAGCCTGCTGTCAACACTGCAAAGCTGTCACTCCCTTCGATGTGACGTACCACCAACTGGGACTGAGATGTAAGAAGTGCTCGGTCCTCCACGAGACCTCCACTGCTCAGATCGGCTGTGGAATTGCTGATGCTCATGAAACCACGGTATATTGTCAGGCCGCGAAAATGAAAACCACCACCTTTCCTACCAGCGTTGGCATACTGAATGCTGACGTTTGAGCTATTGATCACAACGTTGCCTTCTGAAAATGCAGCTCCTCCTTTTCTTCCGGCTGTTGCGTTCTCAATGAAAATTGCCGATCCCTCCGTCAACTGCAAACCTGTTGCAGCCTCAAAGCCTCCACCATGTCCGGAGACCGCCTGGCTGTCTGAAATCTTTACCTTAGACATCCCTGTAATGTTAACATCTTGTTGGGCAAAAAATCCCCCACCAGAGTTTCCAGCTCTGGCATTCTGAATGCTGAGCGTGGAGCTGTTGATCACCTGCAACCTTCCCATCACGTGGAAGCCTCCACCTTGAAGTGCGGACACATTGGACATGCTCAGATTCGACATCCCTGCAATCACCATGTCACTGGAGGCAAAGACACCTCCCCCCAAGCCTGCAGTTCTGGCATGCCGAATGCTGATGGTGGAGCCGTTGATCACCTGCATGAGTCCCTGTACGTAAAGGCCTCCAGCACCTCCAGAAACGGCTGTGGTACCTCTCAATTCGACTCTGCTAGCCGCTAAGGTCACTGCTCCAATTGCCATGAAGCCACCACCAACTGTCGTAGCTGTGGCATTCCGCAGGAAGATCGACGAGTTCTCCTTTGAAGGACTGCTCAAACAAATGTCCAAAGAACCGATGTTTGGGAAAGTTTGATGTTTAGTCTTGTCAGTTTATCTTTTCAAAAGTCACAAATCTGCATCAAAATCAATGCCTTGGCGAAACATGTCGTGTGACAGCTTCTGTCATCTCTAGTATCTGCGTTGCTACTTGGAACCCTCAACAATTGATTGAGGTCGCAGCTGAAACATTGACATCTCCCTCCGCGTAGAAACCAGCGCCCCAGTCGGCTGACATGTTCTCCATGAAGACTGTAGAATCCAGTTGAAGCCTCCTTAGGATGTACTGGATGAACACACATGTCCATATGACTCGGCATGTACGTCACTCTCTGGCCGGTGTGGACACGGCAAAACTAGTGGCTATTGCATGCAAAACTTTCTGTTTCAAAGTAAGTGAATCGAATCAATCTGTTCGCCAAACTGCTTGTATCGCCACCAAATTCTACCAAATCATATGCCCTATACAGTAACTATGTGCCACGTCTCAACGCTGCTGCACCGTAGAAGCCACCGCCAGAGTCTGTCGCTGAAGCACGCAGCACCCGAAGGGTTGAATTGGCCAATGTCCTGAACCCAAAAAGGTCCCAACAGTCGAGTCCCAACAGCAATCTTCTGAGGTGATTTCTCGCACCTCAAGACTCCACACTGATTCCTCAATATGTTGATATCTTTTGACTTGGACTAAATGTAATTGGGCTTTGACACAGTCTTTACACAACGATCAAGTTTTTAGTTCACGTGGGGAAAAAAGCATTTACAGTGTGCTTGTGAGCGCGATCATCTAGAACTTTGGGCGACTAAATAAATGTTTAATGGATTTGATACCATGGTTGTATTATGAAAACAAGAGCATGCTTTCAGTGACTTGAGCACAAAGCAGGCTTTGACACGAGTTGGGACTGGTCATGTAACGGCATACACAAACCCACCCACGTGTGAAGTCTGTGTGATTTGTTCTTGAGAAATCCTCCAAGGTTGCCGTGTGAAGCGTGAGTCAGCTGTGAACAAGTTGTGTGAATGAACTATAATATCAGGATATGATTTCTTACATGTGTCCAAATCAGACTCGGTGCATGGCCACAACGAACTGCAAGTTGGCATGCAATTGGCCGTCATGGTGGAAGTTCTGGTGATTTGATGTTTGAAAGGAGGGTTCGTGCAATTGAATGGGCCTGAGGCAAAACTATATGTGTTACTGTTTTGAGAAAAAACTACTGCTACAGTAGTTATGTCAAGCGGTATAAGTGTCCAATCTGCCATGAATCGAATTCTTCGCATGCCCTTCGCCCTCAGAGAAATTCTAGCATATCACCCTATTCGATGTTCACACCCAACAAGCTCCAGTTCTTACAATTCTCCTGGCCCTTCCGGCCCCACACCCGCGCTCAAACCGAGCATGTTCACCCCACGATGCTCTGCGCCCAGGGTCAGGTCCCCCACCGCTGCGAGGCCGCCACCCTTCACCGCCGAGGTGTCCCGAACCTGGAGAACTCCGCGCGTGACGGAGACGCCCCGGGGCGATGGGGGGTTGGCTTGTGAAACGACTGCTATGTGTGCAATCCATTGCATTGGCGTTGGAAATAGATTTAACCTGTTGTACAAATACATCTTGCCATCTTTGAAGTTATGAAGAACTCATTTCATGTATATACTGTACCACAAAACCAAGAAGCGGTCAGATTGGAATTGGTCAAAGTGAATGGCCCTCTGCTCGAAAACGCGCCGCCCAGTTCGATCACTTCTTCTGGATGATCTTCATGCCAGGCTTCCACTTGGGCATCGTCGAAGACCAAAGTCCTGGGAGGCAAAACAAGAACTGTAAACTTCCCACATCGTCCCATTACACCTATATTTACAATACCTACGTCCCGTCGCAGCTGTGAGGACGATCCAGGTGCCTGTGAAGCTTCGAAGCTCCGCGCTTTCTCTGACGTCGAAGGCTGGGCCTTTCGCGAACGGCGCGAGTTGGACGCGCTCGTCTTCAGCAAGGCAAGGCTCCCGGCATCGAAGCGGAGCGAGATCATTTCGATGGACCTGAGATTCAGTCAGAGGAGTTGGATGGACAGCGGGAGAAAAAAGCATGTCAACGGCTCTTTTTGTATCTTTTTGTTGGAACATGTTGGAACGAGCCTTGGAGAACTGACCATCTGTAGAATCTGTATAGTACAATACTGTATAATGTATATGTCAATTATATTCAATTATATACTATGTCAATTCTATGGTGGTTTGATGTGAGTTCCGTTGGTCAACATGTGTAGCTTCCAAACCTGCTCGAGTCAAGTCCTGAGAGAGTGACAGCTAGGTGCCTCAGATCCTGCCCAGGTGCCCAGTGATGCGCAGCTCACCCTGCGTGCGCAGGGTCGCCACACCGGTCACATTCTCCGCCGTCACCAGCCGCGCCGGCGCAGCACGGGGTCCATGAAGCTCACAGCGTTGTTGAGCGTTCGATGGCGGCCCTCGGAGCCAATCGCTCAGCGGATTGCAGGCGACGCGCACCCGAATTATATAGATGAAAATTCGTAAGATATGATTCGTTGTGCAATTGAAACCAACCTTCGT